CCCTGGGAGAGGGCTGCAGCGCTCTCCTTTTATTCTGCCCCTGTGACACGGATTGACCGCAGAGAAGGCGTTAAACGCCCTAAAATGTTGGAAACGCACTTGTTCAACCAACGAACTGTTGGCGCTGGAGTCGATCGGGGTTTTGCCAGGACCCATGAAGGTCACCTGTGCACAGAAACGCCTTTTTCGTCTTCGAGCCAGCCAGGAAATGTTGTTCATGAGTTAAAAAAACTTCCCCCCTCACCCCAACTCTGTATTTCCTAAAAAGGACTAACACGTGTTCTAGAAAAGGTCGAAAAGCCAACCAAAACATTGCCCCAAAACCAGAAACCACGGTTTTCTTCGCTTCAGACAATAATACACTTATTTTTTTTTAAAGGCTGCTTTGTTTTGGCAAAAGCAACCGTGAGCCGACTACCAGCGGCGTCCTCCTCGCGGAAGAGGCGAGCTGGCTCAGAGGCGGTTTTAAGATGGTCACCACCACTTTCTGGGGGTTGCTGGCCATTTCCACAGCTGTTCTCCGGTTTAAGCTGAAGTTACCCATCTATCAGCTGCCTGCCCGCCTGTGGGTCAGGCCGCACGGTGGATTTGAGAGTCTCTCGCGCTCGCCGCTGCTGTCCAGGCACCGCTCAGTGAAGAACCACGGGGACAGGTCCTCAGCGAAGCCCACGAGAAGTCTCAGGGGCACAGTTTGATGTAGGTAACGGTGGAGCAGACCGAAAAGAGAGGGAACACCTTCTCCTGGAAGGCGACGTTGAAGGTGAAGATGTGCTGCATGTTGTCGGCGTTGTAGAAGGAGACTTCTTCTCCTTCGTAATCCAGGTACACCCTGACCTTATTGAGTTTCTGGCTGAGGCACAGCGGGGTGCGCTGGGGCGAGGTGACCGCCCAGTAGCGACCTCCGTTTTGCTGCACCGCCCAGATCCCTTCTTCGGGGGAAAACTGCGTCAGACCTTTCCTCCTGACGGACTCCTTGGCCACCCCGAAGGCCCAACCGTCCGAGGCCCCCACCTCCACTTCCCAGTAATGTCTTCCTGACTTGAAGCCCGTGGTAGCCAGCACCCGCGAGTTCGTGTCGAATCTCTTGGGGTTGTCGGGCAGCTCCTGTTTCCTGCAGCCCATCCTCACGCTCTTGAGGTCCGCAGAGAGGATGAGGAGGTGGTTTGCCGAGTCGGGGTCCAGGGTCAGGTCCTCTGTTGACGACAGCAGCGACAGCGATCGTAACTCAATGAGAATTTTAACAATTAAAAGCCCGAGCGGGGGATGCTTCGACCAGATGTTGAACCACATCCCAACCTCACTAACCGCACGTCAACCTCAATAACTGCCTTTCTTCAGCTCCCCGGACGGTCTGTGGTGAAGGAAAGCCAAGTTCACACGTGGGCTTGGCTTTGGGGTGCCTCCTCTCGCCACTGACCCTGCAGGAAACCTGGAGGCTTGGGGCTGATTTTAAAAGGAGTCATTTTGGGTGTCAACAAATGTGCTGCTTCTTTCTACCAGCACACAGCGACACGCTTTCATGGGAGGGCGAAACCCACGCCGCTGCTGCTAAGAAATGGGGGGACAACACCGCAAGGACACTGAGAGCAAAGAACACAACAAAACCACGTGCAAATGCTTAGCAATTATATCCAGTAAAAAGGGACCTTAGATCGAGACTTTTTCCCCCAAACAAGTTGGTACCAGTTTCCTTTTTGTTTCTGGCTCATCGAAGGTACCACACACAAGACGGTGCGTGCGCACCCCTCAGATCATAAATTGCTGAGTATCTGGCCCCGTGATGACAAGCCCTCGCGGAAAGCCACGACCTAAGGACATCTTTACACACCAGACCGCACCGGGACAGCCCAAAAGAGACATGCGTGTGGATGAAGTTCGACACGAACATCTTTTCCCCCCGCCAAAACCAGGCTCAAAGGAAACAGCGAGCACGTTAGTGACCTCAAATTGTGGTTGTAGTCAGCAAAGCTGCCGCGAATGAACGAGACCCTTTCGGGGGAAATGGAAGATGGGACCTGAGGAGCTGAAACGCGTTGGATGCCGCACCAGAATTTATTTAGCTAAATAAATAACTGCAGCACAAGCTGTGGCCCAGTCGGCTTTCGGAGGGTTTGCTGGCACGACGCACCGGCCGAGTCACACCTCCACGCGCGCACGCACGCCACCGTGGACACGCAGTGAGGGTCGTTTCGCCGTTTTGCTTTTAAATAGTGGTCGTCAGCCTTTCTTCTTTGGCTTTGCCAAGCCCTTGGCACCTTCCAGAGGTGTCCGGGGGTGTTTGTGAGCAGGGTCTGGCCCCTCTAAGCCGGACGGCCCTGGGAAAGGCGCCAACCCATGGCTTGTCCTCCTCTGCCTTCCCCAAGGGGTTTATAAACCCCACGCTGAAGACCCCCACCTTAAAAGCAAGAATTAAGCCTCCTCTTCTAAAAGAGGGCTCGGCTTTGCTGGGGTGGCTCTGGCTGCTCTGGGCACGGCCGCGCAACCTTCACACCGAGGGAGCTGGAGGATGGGAGCAGAATTTGACAGCGTCTGCCCACGCCTTGCGCCCGCCGCGGCGCGAGGTCAGAGGGACCAGGCTGGCGGTGAGGACCGCGGCGCAGCCCATCGCCGGGGTTTCCCGGCTCGCCGGCGTCCCCCTGTCCTCACCCACCGCCGCCGGCGGGGCAAAGCGGAGGCTCGCCCAGCATCGAAAGGGTCGACCTGGGCCGGTTTTGCCGGTTGCGAGCCCATGACCTCCGAGGTGAACTCACTCCTTTGCCGACTCAGGAGAGCCGGTGAGCGAGGCTCCTCCGGCGTGGCGCGACCACCTGCCCACGGCCACAATTTCAGCAACTTTCGGCAGAATTTCGCTCATCTGGCTTCGCACCGGGGCGGGGCGCGGGGCGCGCGCACCCTCCACCCCGAGCCCCGCTGAAAATACGAGCCCGACCGCAGGCCACAGAGCAAATCTGACAGACTTAAAGGGAGGTGTGGCTTGAAAGGGTACGAATCCGCCTTTTTGGGTTTAAATATCTGTTCTTTCTGTTCCGCACTGTAGTTAAGGGTAAAGAGTCAGAAAGGACCTAGCTTAGCTGTCAGATCCCCGGCGTCAGCTAGAAAAATCGTCTTTTGACTCTCGAACTGAGCAGGCTGGATCTGGAAATCATCGAGAGAGAAGAAATTAAAAAAAAAAAAAAAAAAAGAAAGAAAAAAAAGAAATCTAGAGTGCCTTTGCTTCCCCCTCTCTTTGGCTTTGCAAAACCGGCTTTGCGAAATACAACCACAATTTAAAGTCTTTGCTCCAGGGCGCCATGTCTTAAATAGTTTCTTTTTACCTTTTTCACCTCTTCCCAGCTCATCTTGCAGGTTTTCTGAAAAGAAGAGACAGGCAAGTGAACGGCAACGGCGAGAGAGCCAGAGGGAACCACCCAATCTCCTTTAGGGGGACCTTTACGCCCACCCCAAAGGGTCGTGTTTGCTGACATGGGGCTCGATGGGCAGCAGGAGGAGAGGATGGAGCAACGCCAGCTCCCGCCGGCTTGCGCAACGGGGGAAATTCCTGCTAAAGGTATTTCAACTTTTATTTAAAAAAAAGGAAAGCTTCTGGTCATCAATGGAACGCAGGATTTATTTAAGCCTTATTTATCGCGCCCTGCCATGTTTTGCTCTCCCAGTTGTGTTACGAGTTTCAACCTCGCACTACAATCCTTTAGGCCAATTATTGCTCCAGGGCGTAGTTTGCATTTAAGGGATTTTCCTGCCCTTTCTGGTGCTCGGTTCCTTTCCAAATCCCCCAGCACCATCTCGTGGCTCTGCTGCGTTGCTGCAAGGCGTTGGGGTTTTTTTGGGTTTTTTTTTAAACGCGAAGCTTCTTGGCTGATCCCAGCCTCAGACTACTCGAGGTGTGGAAATTGCGGGTTTTATTGCGCTAAAACTGATGTGCCAGGTTCAGGTTTTTCCCCTCTTTAAAAAAAAAAAAAAAACAAAAACCTCCTCCATCTCCTTCTCCGGCAGGGTGAGCCTCCTCCTGTTCCTGCGCACCTCCAGAAGTCCTTCCCAACATAATTTACGCTCCTATTTCGGTGCCGCTGGCCAGGCACGCGCTAAGGGACCTCGAGACATCCGCAGCATCCCCAGCCTCTCCTCATCCCTTTTCCCCGGTGCCCGGCAAAGGCCAGGCCTATTTTAAACGCCCCGGTTTCGTTTCCACCCACCTCTGAATTTCTTCAAGACTTTCTCAAGGACGACGGTCTTGAGGGAGAAATTGCAGACGTGCATTTTCATATCCGTGCACACTGGCACGGGCTTCTGGCACTTCACGTCGTCGCTTCTGCGAAGAAAAAGAGTAAAAACAATAAGAAAACTGTTGCTGCTCCCCCACGTTCTTCTCCATTCGCAGCTGGCAGCGTGCGGTGCTCCCGCCCCATCCCACCGGCGGTCTGTCCAAGCGCTCAGCGCCACGTGGCGGGGATCACACCGGGATTTCACCCTGCCTGGCCTGAGGACACCGGGATTTACAGGTCGACTTTGCAAACCCCCCCCCAGCTGGCTGTTGGAAAGGGTGTCTGCGCTGGGTTCCCCCCACTCAGCTGTTCCTGCTGCAGCTTCGATGTCATTTTCGGAGCTTAAGTGGTGCCTAAACCATTGCCCTGGGTGAACTGCGTACCAGGAGGACTTGGCATCTCTGGTCTCACTTGACCTTTGAAGGAACTGCCTGGTAGGAAAAGACTTTGCGGTAACGCTAAGTTTTCCAAGAAGCTGGAAGAGACCCAGGGCTTGCGCCGAGTAGGAGGCAAGCTCCGTCGGCCCCGGTGCCTCCCTCTGGCATCTGGACTGTGAACACTGACCTTTAAACAGTGCTGGTGGGGGAAAAAAGCGTGAGAGGAGGGGAGAAGCAGCGCTCCGTACCTGCTTATGGTGTTCATTACATCCTAGAAAGGAAAAAGAGAGACCGAGTGAAATCCCCGCGCAGCAGCGTGCGCTCCGTCTGCCCTGGCTCCAGCAGCACCGGAGCAATTCCCTTTCCTTAAACCCAATCAGGAGGTCCATCCCTCATGGCTGCAACAAGCAGGCACGGATCCGTGCCTCAAAGGTTTGCTTTCCACCTTGGAAGGCCACAGTCCCACTAAATCCCACCCACCCGCAGTAACTAAAGACCCATCAGCTTCTGGGGGGGGAGGACACGACCAAGCCTTCCAAATGGCCCTACAGACGATATTCCGGCTTTATGCCCACTGAGTCACGAGGTTGTTTAGGTTGGAAGGCGTCTTTGGAGGTCTCTCATCCAACCTCCTTTGGAGGTCTCTCATCCAACCCTTTGCCCAAGGCATGGCAGGTTATCCAGGGTCCTGCCCAGGTGAGTTGGGAGCATCTTCAAGAGCCAAAGGGACACCGCGTGCCATAACCTGGCCACCTAGAAAAGCTGGCATTAAACCTGCACATCTATGTCTCCACGATATCTGGACTTCCATGGCCTAGTCACCACCAAGAAGAGCTTAGGGTCCCTCCAAGGGGTGATTCATCCCACCCTGGGATGGATATTCTGACCGTGGAAACGACTGGCCCTCAAGAAAGCTGGATTATGGAGGCAAATTACAGGTTAAAATACCCTCAACAACTAGTGGCAGCGCGAAGAAAACTCCCCGAGGTGAAACCCGTGCTCAGTCCGGTCCTTGACACTATTTGCCCTTTCTGATGCCTTTTGAACAACATAAAGAAGGGCGTAAACCGCGGCGAGTGCGTTGGACGCGATTCAAAGGCGACACAAAGCGCCTACCCCCCTCCCAGGGTAAGGAAAAGGACCCTGGAGCTGGCTAAGGGCTTCCAACGGGGCCTTTTTTTTTTAAAAAAAAATCACCTATTGTTATTTTTGCGTGCCTTGGCGAGGGCTGAAAAGTGTTTTCACCCACGGCCAAGTACTGAAACCACCTGCAAATATTTACAGTGCTTTCAGCGCTGCCTGGGAGGGACTTTAACCCCGGGCAGATCTGCGCACACCAGAAGCTCAAGCTGCTTAATTTCCTCAAAACGTTGTCAATCAGAAGAAGGTCACCCGTTAGCCTTTTGCTGGAGGGCAGGACTGCTTGGTTTTGGGCAGCTCGGGCTTGTTTTTGCAGACCCCACTTCGTCGGCGAAGGAGAGTTTGGGTAACAGGGAGCGCTGGGTTGGCTCCAGCTTCTTGCTTTGCGCTGCAATCGATACCTGGACTCCATCTGCTCTCCCTCTCATACTTTCCAGCTTGGTTAATGGCTCGTTTTGACTTGAAAACCCAGCTCTGCTTCCAGGTCCCGGCCAACCTTCTGCAGCCAGGACTCCGCTGCGAAGCCTGGCGAGGAGCCGTGCCTCGCTGAGCCCAGCTCCACGCGCTTCTGCACCCAACTCCTCCCTAAGCCCTCACCAGTGCCTTTACTGGAGGAGAGGACGTCTGGGACCTAGCCCGCCGCAAACCCTCGGCGCTGGGAGCCCGTCATAAGCTGGAGGAGAGGACGTCTGGGACCTAGCCCGCCGCAAACCCTCGGCGCTGGGAGCCCGTCAAGACCGGGATTTGCAGAAGGAGTTGCTCGGTTTAAGGATCTAGCCGGTACCGCTGCGGTGGCTCTTCATGCAAGGTCTGATTCAGCTCTGAACACCCTGAAACGGGAATCTATGGGCTCTAGAAAGGTCCAGACATATTCAGGGAAGAAAAATTCATCAGAGGCTGTCAAACATCAAGAGCACACCTCTGTTTCGGGATGTTCCTGAGCCAGAGGGAGTTGCTGGGTGTTACCGCTGGCGTAGCAGAGCTCAGGGCGCTCGGGCACTGCCGCGCACCATCCGCTCATTGAAGGCGGAGCGGGGGGGAAAAAAGGACATTTATCCTCAAAACACCTCTACAGGACCCATTAAAAAAGGATGAAGAAGGGTCATGACTCAAACCTGAAGGCTCGTTTCATAGCAAACGTCTCACCTTGAGGAACTCAAGCATGGGCTGCTGGATTTTCTCCTCTAGCTCCGTGATAAGCTTGTTGAGGAGCGTGATCTCCTTGGAGAGGTCGGTGATGTTCTCGTTCTGCCTCTTGGCGATGTTCTTCTCCATCTTCTCCAGCTGCCCCAGGAGGATGTGCTCCTGGTCGTGCAGGAACTGCCGCAGCCTCTCGAATTCCAAGAGCAGCTTCTGCCGCTCGTTCTCGATGGTTTTCTGGGAAAGAAGTGCAGCAAAATGGGTTTTAAGCGGGTGCGATGATGTTGGGGTGGAGAGGGCCCACCTGGTGAGCTTGGAGCACGCGCCGGTGCGATTGCTGCTGCCTGCTGGCTTGCTTGTGAGACCGGGTTGGGGAAGGGTGAGGAAATATTGCATGTGGCGTGCCTGGACAAAGGCCCTCGAAAGGGATGAGGATGGGAAAGCAAAATCCATGGGCAGTTACTCCACAAACAGCTCTTATCTTTATCGCAGCCGTGTCCCCACACCCTTTTCTGGAGGGAAGAGGTACCAAACCACGTCTGGGGCAGGCACCTGACCTCCACGGCAGATCTCAGGTGGTTTTGCTCTTCTACACTGGACACATAGGGCTTCCTTTTTCTGCCCTGGGGTGGTGGGGAGTTAATCAGTGCTCAGCAAAGCAGAGGTGGGGACCGGCGGCCAAGAGTTTTCCCCCATCCCTGTCACCATCTGCTGGTCCCGCCACCCGAACTGGGAGAAGGAGTTGTGCAGAAGAACCCACTCAGAGCAGCTTTTCTCCCTCCCTGGGGGCATCCGTAACCTCAGAGAACCCCCAGTCCCTGCCTTGTTGCCATCTCCTGTTTATCAGCTCTGCCAGCGTCCCGGTTCCTACTCGGGTTGTCGTCACGAGCAGACCAACAAGTCCCTCCTCACGGGAGCACGGGAATGTTTTGCTCCAGAAAACGCACCCTTTGGCGACAGGGACGAGGTTGAACCTGTTTTGGTTGCTTCACCTTACGCTGCCCTTTAGCACGGGTCCAGCAGGTCCACGTCGCCCTCAAAAAAAAACGGGCCTTCGCGCTCTGCCTTTTGCACCACGGACGAAACCGTGGCTCCTGGCAGGCTGGTGCTATTTCAGGCCCTGCCAGCTGGGGAAAAAAAAATAAAATATCCAGCAAATTGTGTCAATAACCCCGTTGCACAGGGGTGGTAGAGCAGAAACAGGCGCTGAAGGTGGCCTGATGGTGCTCGTCCCGGGTAGGAGGGACGTGAGCCTCTCAAAGCCACTTGCCTTGGGGGTGGGTGATGGTCTGGGAGGGGTGTCACGAG